TGACCTGCTCACTTAAGGTCATTACGGTGACCTGGGGTTACGACATTCGTAACGGCTGACAGCACCGTGCACCGCTAGTCGAGCGGGTTTTCTGTGGTAGGGTAACAAGAGATCAGTTTTTTTATTGAAACGGTGGTATGCCCCTTGTGGCTACCCGTTCAGTTGAAAGCCGCCAGAGTCACAATTGCTGATGTAATCGCATGATGGAGAGTAACACCCAGGGTCCTGGAGTTCTCTTCGGGCCGAAGGTCCGGCAAAATTCTGCCTTAAGTCGGCTTATATCGCTCGGTGGTGCTGAAGCTACCACTGCTTTCTAGTTCAACTGTCTGGCAAATGGGTACAGTATTTTCCCTGTCGGCGGCGTCACAATATGGACCGCTATGACGTTTCAGTGGCTTCCACTGGCCCGAACAGGAGTAGTGTCAGGACTCTGGGGGGGAAAATATTTTGATCGCAAGTTTTGACTGATTCGATTTTACATCCGTCTGAGCGCTGCGCCTGTGCCAGCAAAGAAATGCAAGACGTAACAAGTGCTGACCCGCTCCCTATCGCACCTGAGTCCCACACTGGCAATATCAAACGGCTGACACCGGCAGGGGCCACATTTCTGACTGCGTTTGGTTTTAAATCATCTCCCTGCGAAATAGAAGTAGGAGAGTGAGAAGTCTCCACTAAAGGTCAAAGTTGCCCGGTAATTGTGTATTTTTTCACCCGCCACCAACAGGAAGTCCATCTATGTGCATAGTGTCACCCTACGTTCGTATGAATCCGTGTTTTATGTTAGCTGTCCTTCAAATCTTCCAAAAACGTTACCTTACGAAGGCGCTCTTTTACTGTTCTTGCCCCCCCCCCCTCCCTTATTTGGTATCTTTGGTAGTCTCTTTGGTCCAGTGTCAAAATTATGAGATAACGTCACCTGTAGAATAATTGTCCCTGCCCCAGAAGTCACTTTGAGCACTAGACGTCAAAACTGACCCAATACATGTTGAGATCTGTAGAGATCAAATGGGCCCGCATGGTGTTGACGGGAAGTATACAGACATACGTACAGAAACCAGGCTGAAGAGAATATATGAGGGGTGTCGGTGGTGATTGATTTAACTGCGCGTCAGGAAAACTAAAGATACGAAATTCGATTTCCCACAGTGCCATCCCTTCCTGTCAGCGACAAGAACGAAGTAGGTGTTTGTTCTATGCGTACGTGGTTAGTTTCCATTGCCTCAAAGTCGAACCAAGGATGTTATGTGATAAACCGTCTGGTGCTCTCGGCATTATTGTGATGTATATAGGTAGAGAGAGAGAGAGAGGAGAGAGAGAGAGAGAGAAGGAGAGAGGAAGAGAGAGAGAGGAGAGAGAGAGAGAGAGAGAGGGAAGAGAGAGAGAGGAAGAGTGAGAGAGGGATGAGGGAGAGGGAGAGGGAGAAGGGAGAGGGAGAAGGAGAAGGAGGGGGGGAGAGGAGAGGGAGAGGGAGAGGGAGAGGGAGAGGGAGAGGGAGAAGGAGGGAGAGAGAGAGAGAGAGGGAGAGAGAGAGAGAGAGAGAAGAGAGGAGAAGAGAGTAGAGATATTATATATATATATATATATATATATTCGGGCGCTTAGGCAGTATGTTTTCATTCATGCAGTTTTGTTATATACAAGGGCAAATCCACATTTCATCAGTTTCGTGCGCGTTTGCTTGATTGTTCGAATTATATCTTGTGTTGTTTTTGGTAAGCCATAAATCAGATCACCTATGATCATTTACGTAAGTTTCAGCTTACTGACGTTTTAAGTACATTCGTTTCGGTTTTCAAAGCAATGTGAGACAGTTGGACGGGAAATATTCCAAAATGGAGAAATGCGATGCATGCTATACGAGACACGATCAAAGGTGGAACCATCAGTTTGCAGATTGTCCGAATATCAGACTAAATTACAAAACACATTTAAACACGCGCACATCGCTTTTCCATCCATTTTGACGGCATGGATAGTTCAAGGCATCGAATCACCCTGCTGCCATCGGGTAATTGAACAGGTCCAAAGTGATACTCGAGCTAAGCAGTTTGTTCAAGTCAGGGGATTTTTATTTGATGAGGATGGCTTCGAGAACTTATTAACGGCGTTTGCTTGGACATGATTTTAAAATCCGTATGTTTTGCTTCAGCCAGAGCGCAGGAGTTTTTTAGTGGTGGGTTTTGCGCATATGCCGGTGTGGCGTTGCCTCCTGCAGGTGCATTGTCACGCGTCGGGATCGAGGTGTGGTTATCCCGATCGAGTAAAACAAACAACAATCTGGTCATGTGCTGGTCTGGCGCTGCCTCCTCCAGGTGCACTGTCATGCGTTGGGATCGAGATGTGGTCATCCCGATCGAGTAAAACAACAGTCGAGCAAACGCGCAAGTAGCTGGTGAAATGTACATATGCCGTGCATAGAACAAAACTTGCACACACACACACACACACATATATATATATATATATATATATATATATATATATATATGCATGTATATGTATATACATGTATATATTTATTTACATAGATATGCATTTATTTATATATGTAGAGATATGATTTGACAGCTGTCAAATTTGATGCGAGTAATAGCATCTGTGCGGAAGAAAATGGCAATGAAATAATGTCTGATGACGGAAAGTATGTTCCATTCACTTGGTTTGTGCATGTTGAAAGCTTTTCTTTTCTTTTTAGGCACACATTTGGTAGGTCCGTTGAAAAACTCGTAGCGCATTTTTAAAATCACAATCTGCGTTAAAAATTGCGGATGCTGCTGAAGCCTAAAACATTTATGAAATGCTTGCTTCTGCCTGGTTGGTGGCCCTCCTCCCACCCCCACCCCCACTCTCCGGCCCTTCCCCCCCCCCTCGAAACGCCGCGTACACTCTGAGTGCGGGGTAATTAAAGACCCAGCCTGAGCGGGCACTCTAAAATGCATGCCGTTAATGTCCTCTTTCGCGAGGCGGTGTCCCAAAGGCGTCCTGCGGTCCACCGCACGGTCAGTGACGGGCATGCGCGAGTCCGGACTGGGGACCTGACGTGGCTCCGCGATATTAGCGCTACAAGAAAAACTTCCATTGTCAGGAGTGCTACAAGGCTACTTTTACTGTCTACACTTATGCACAACTAAAGCGCTGCACGACAAAACTTACACTGCAAAAATGCATATTCGCCGTTACTTCTACTGTAAAAACTATAGGGTCATCACTTATACACGACATTACTTATACTGCAAAGTAGAAGTAATGTCGTAGCATAGTGCTGCACTATGCTACGGCATCAGTGCTACACGAAAATAGTCTATCTCAAAATGTGTAACTGTCGTTACTTTTCCGCAAAAACTGATATATTCGTCACGCATACGCAACATAACTTGTACCGCTAATGCTTGCGTTGAGTGGAATTTGCGTGAACACCCAGCATGGGTATAGGAACAATTCACAGGCTGGGAAGAAACTCCAGTCGGGCGATACTTCAACTTAATGTTCATGATGCTTATACTGAAAGCCATTTTTTCATTATGTTACGTGATTTTGTCGTGTGCAGTGTTTGGCGTGCGAGCTAAGGCCGTAATTTGGGCAGCAAAATGTAGATAACGAGCATAACTTTTTGAATCATTAGCGTTGTGTAGCACAGAACCAGAAGTTACTGTAGTAGAAGTATTTTTACATTTCAGTCAACACCAGGCCAGGGGTGTAGTTTCGTATTCAGTCGGGGGACCCCATCCACCTCTCATCTGTGATACAAAAGTGCGTCACATTTGGGGTTGCTTCCGCGTTTCATGTATTTTGGAGGAGGTTTGGCCCCTTTTCCCTGTTCAACCTCCAAATTTGCTTTGCACCATTACGACAGTGACGTTTAGACGTTTATTCAGTAGAATAGATTGTTCCGTGAGTAACTGTCGTGGATCCGTCGATCGCAGTATTTGCAGCAGCAATAACGTATCGACGCCACGGAGTTGGTACCGGCAGTCTAATCTCACCTAGCCAAGTGATGTGTAGTGACAGCTCCTTCTGCACGATTTTGATGAAGCGTAACCTTTGGGTTAGGGTACTGACCGGTATAATTTGTGGGTTATGGCCTGCATCGTGATGCACAAATGTCGCCGATAAGCATTGGTCGAAGCCGTAATATCGTTGATAAGTAAAGAAGGCTGTGTAGGGTTTTACAATAGGCATAATAATAGTCATCGGTTTTCTTGAGACAAATATTGTGTTGTGTAGCACTAATGCCACAGAAAGCTCGTTGCAGCAGACATAATGACGGTTTAAGTAAAGACTGTATAAGTTTGCCGTAGAATTAATGACTGGTTATTGTTTTTGCAGCATAAGTTTTGTCATGCCGTACTCATGTCATGTATGAGTTTTTGCCGTAGAAGAAATGTTGCGTATGAGTTGAGGCTGTACGTGTCCATGCATAAGACGATTATAATTTTTTGTGGTATGTGTTTTGTCGAGTAGGTGCCACTCATGTTGTGTATGAGCTTTAGCAGGAGGAGTAACGTCGTGTATAAGTAAATACTGTGTAGAGTTTTGCAATAGATATAACGAATTGTATATTGCATTAGAAGCAGCTTTGCGTATAACTGATGTAGTAGCACTTTTTCGGTAGGATTTTTTGCCGTAGCGGTCCTGTCGTGACACCGAGCTCACGCGGCTCCCTGTCGTAAGGGGCGGGCCGGCAGCCGCACTAGCCTCGGTCCGGCACAGCACGCGGCTCCCTGTCGTAAGGCGGGGCGGGCCTGGCCGGCAGCCGCACCAGCCTCGGTCCGGCACAGCACGCGGCTCCCTGTCGTAAGGCGGGGCGGGCCTGGCCGGCAGCCGCACCAGCCTCGGTCCGGCGCGGCGTTCACTGCCAGCTGTCAGTCAGTGGTATCATGTCGCAAGGTGAATAAGCAGCCGAAGCAGAGGACCCAGATGGCTCCCTGTTATGGCTAGACAGTTAAAGCCGCTTCTTGCGTGCTTTAAGCGCATGCTAATAACCACGTGTGTCTTCACAGATTGAATTTAAGCCCAAGGCTAAGGCGGATCCAGTGGTCAAGATATGGCGAAACATGACAGTTGCTGAACTTGCCGCTGCTCTGCAGAAAACCGAAGGTTTATCCCTTAACTGACACTTGTGATTTTTGACGCTCGTGAAGTACAAAAGAATGCGTTTATTTCCACTCGTTGGCGTGCAAACTGTGCCGATGTCAAGTTGGTGCGGCTCTGACGATGACGAACGCCATTCTGTTAATAACTATAACTCTTCTGTACCGAGGCTTCATCCAGGGGGCGATATGTGATGAGTCAGAAGATCCTGCAAAAATAGCGTTGTTGTGTTTGAGGGTACTGGTTGAGCGGCGCTATCCAGAAAGCCTCGGTTGTATTGCAGAAAGCCTGACGATTCCAAGCTGTAGATAAGACAGTACTGTTAGCGTTATATTTCGTTGAATAACGAGCAGAAATGAAAGATAGTTGTAATAAGATTTCGGCGACGCGCTTTTGTCAGAACGATTTAAACGAATTTAAAAAGCATTATGGTTTCTACCGTTCTGACACAGCATGTAGCCTAAATATGCATACATCTATCTCTCCTTTGCCCTGATTACTCGACGATGAATAAAGCTAAGAGTGCCGTCTTATCTACATGCCTAATGTTCCTCGTAAATGCACTTAACAACTTGTGTAGTTACAAGCTGTGGTCATGGTTAAGAGAAAATGAGATTCAGCAAGAAACAACGAAAATTGTTTTGAAATGACTTAAAGTTTCGTTAAGTAGCTTAGTTTTAACCTTACGAGTTATAGTTTGTTTATGAACCTCATTTTGCGATTTATCGATATTTAAGAGCAGCTTGATCTTTCGCTCAATCGTTTTTCCTTGTAGCCATGAAAACGGCTTGGAAACGTTGCTTATTCCCAATATAAGAGACGCCTGCTGGATGAGTTAACCAATACCTCTTCGCTTGCTGAAGGTCATTTGCTTCCAATGTAAAAGCCTCCCATGAGAATGTCGAAAAGCAGGGTTTAAGGCCTTTGTTGTTGATGTCACATACGTTTTAGCCGTGTATTTTACGGTTGTGTGCCGTGTGGGCCCGGCCGTGTCGCCGGCCGATCGGGCACTTGACAGTGCGCCGCCGCCGCCGCCGCTCTGCAGACCACGTGTTCGAGGCCATGCTGTTCGTGGACGGCACGGACGACTACGACGCGTCGCACGCCCCGATCGGCGACGTCCGCGTGCTGCAGGACGTCGTGCGGCGGTCGGGCCGGCGCGCCACGGTGGTGGCCCCGCCTGAGCCGGCGGCGCCGCCCGTCAGCAAGGACGTCACGCGCAGGTACGGGCCGGTCACGGGCACAGCCGGAGGCGCTGCACACGCACGCCTGTACAGAGGCATAACGGGGCATGTTTTGCCGCGGGTTGTAGCATTGCTGACTTACCGTGTCACGGCGCTGGAACGCGTCACACTGTCACCCAAAAAACGACGTTTCTACGCAGCATGCTTGTGATTTCTGCGCCGTTTTGGTGTCGGTCCGATCAGCCGACTAGCGGTATGCCGTGCAAAAAGGCTGGCAGGCGGCAGAGTTTTGCCAGACGTCCACGGTCTCGCCATGTGGTACTCCATGCCGTGCTCCGTGCCGTGTTCCGTGCCGTGCTCCGTGGGGTGCTCCGTGTGGTGTTCCGTGCCGTGCTCCGTGTGGTGCTCCGTGCCGTGCTCCGTGCTCTGTCCGGTGTGGTGTTCCGTGCTGTGCTCCGTGTGGTGCCCCATGCAGTGTTCCGATTACATCACAAAGGATGCCAAATCCCTTCGACCACGGCCTGTTGGACGCACTCCTATCGTTTAGGACTAAGTATGAAGTAAAATCTTGAAATATCCGTTATTCCGCAAACGATACGTGCAGTAGTGCCTAGGTTATTAACTCCTATGAGTAGTGCACACTCGCTGGAGGCGTCTCTTTGCGCACAAGACATCGGCCCGCTCGACGTGTGTGATGACGGTGTGTCGTTCCCGTGGGGACCAGTCACTGCTAGAGCGCATGATGGCACCCGCGGCGGCCTTCCTCTGTAACTGACGAACGATTGCTGTGCACCGCAGCAAACCACGGAAGTTAATGAGATGAAATGGTTATGGTCAAGGCCCCCGGCCGAGCGATTATAAATGTCAATTCATGGAAAGCTCTGCAGGGTCAGCGGCTCGGCCTCCGCGCCGGTTTATTTGGTGAGCCATAGGATCCGAGCAGACTGTGCCCGGTGCTCTCAACACCGTTCATACTGCAGTCGTAGTTACCTCTACATCTGCCCGGGACTTTTACTTGGGACCCCCTGGAAAAACCGGATGAATTTTCACATCGAACGGCGATAACACAATTCGTGTGACTTTCCTGAAAGTCATTTCAATGCTATTTTGTTCCGCGTCTAAACCATTCTTGAGAGACGATGTTGCCGTTTACCCCAGACGAGAAGATAGCGGAATAGTCTCTCAAACACAAAACCAGTTGTCAGGACTCCGCTAAATGCGGTTTAAGCAGTGGCTTAAAATGCGAAAAGCATTATTAAGAAATGCCGTTTTTGGGCCATGTGCGGAAGGTCATCACACAGGGTTGACTTGAAAACGTGGCTGGTAAAGTCGACCTGAGGAAGGGAGTCAAGCGGACCACGAGGGAGACTGCAAAAGCAGGAGAGATCTCGCTGCCGCGTCACACTGCTCCATCCGCGTGCTCGAACAGGAGATAGGCGGTAGCAAAACCGCTGTATCCAGGCTGGCAGTAAGAGCCCAGACTGTTACCATGCAAAGAAAGCTCACTTCAGAAGCTCTGACGAACTGATTACGCCACCAGATTAGTTTAGACTCGAGGCGCACTTTTGTTTAGACGTTAAGCTGAGATTCATAAACACGGCCTTTGTTCTGCCAAGGCTCGTGATGGGGTTCGAAGCACCACTGCTTAGTGCGAAGCACACCGCCTGGTGCGCCATCAACAGTGAAGATGCCATCACCCCTTCAGGCTCCATGACAGCAGAGGGCTTCAGTGACCGCAATGACCAGACGGTGCAAGGCAGTCCCTAGCAAGTGTTGAGCTGATTTAAGGAAAGTCTGCGGTGCAGACCCGTGACGTCAGAGGCCTCAGCAAGATCAGCGGAGGTTCCTACAGCGAAGAAGGCGAGACAGCTGCTAAGAGGACGATCTCGACCAAGCCTTATTTCATTGAATTGGCCAAGCAATTGACCAGCTTGTTCCCCGATTGAGTTGCAGGTTTCTTTCCTTGAAGTGTGTAAATCGCAAGTGCACTCATGTGCTGTGTAAACCATCCTCGGTCAAGGGTGCGCAGGAACGGCCGCGGAAGCCGTAAAGCCAGAGTCTTGTTATGCTGCGCATCGTCTAAGCTAAGAGGGGCAGGAACATGTCAACGGTCAGATGTAGTATAACACCGACTGCCCTTCACATCGCTGTGTCGTTCGTATTGCAATGCAAATAAATGTCGCGAGAAGAACCAGTTTAATCCGTCGGTTTGTCCTGGAACGCCGTGTGGTACGCGGATGCTAAACATCTGTGCACCTTCCCCTGCCAGTTTAATGAAAACAGGATATTCCACTGCGTCGGTTAAGCGCTATCGGTATGGTTTTCCGGAGGCGGCAGGCTTCATTTGCTTAACTGTGTTGGTAACTGTGAAGGTAACTGTGCATGGTGGTCACAGTCACGCCCATATCCTCTCACTCGTCCCATGCCGCAAAATGCGCCTTAAAGGTGGGCTCTGTGGGGGAGTGGCCCCGGATGGTGACGCGCCTGAAATCCCCAGACGTCATGGTTCGTCCACAGGCCGCCGCCGGCGGACCCGGCCAGCCTGCCGCGCCGGCCGCCCGTCATCACCATCATGGGCCATGTGGACCACGGCAAGACGACGCTGCTGGACGCGCTGCGGCACTCGCACGTGGTGGACTCGGAGTTCGGCGGCATCACCCAGCACATCGGGGCGTTTCGAGGTCCGTCCGGCCGCCTGGTCGGCCGCTGCTGGCGTCGCCGGCTTTGGCGCGACCTCCGAGACGTTGCCGCCGTCGCACCATGGGTTGTGATGCGATTGTCATGTGATGCACCACAGTTCTCATGCGATGGTGTAGGTCATTTGGAGGTACCTACCGGACATGGCGTGGCAAAACTCGTTCAGCTGAGTGCAGGGAGGTCAAAAATATTAATTCATACTATCCGACTTCTTTCTCCTCCGCCGTCTCCTCCAGACTTCAATCTCCTCTGTTGTCTCCTACAGACCTCAATCTCCTCCACCATCTCCTATGGACCGCCATCTCCTCCGCCGTCTCCTCCAGACTTCAATCTCCTCTGCCGTTTCCTACAGACCTCAATCTCCTCCACCATCTCGTATGGACCGCCATCTCCTCCGCCGTCTCCTACAGACCTCAATCTCCTCCACCATCTCCTACAGACTTCAATCTCCTCCGCCGTCTCCTACAGACCTCCGTCTCCTCCGTCGTCTTCCCTGGACCGCTATCTCCTCCGCCGTCTCCTCCTCCAGCGTGCTTCCTTTGCTGCCTATGTGTTGCCCTTTGACATCGGACCTCACGTCCTGACCTGCCTACTCGATTTGCCTTGTCTGGGGCATGCAGATGCTGGGCTGACCGCCATGCGGCTCGATGCTGATTGGTCGGTCCTGAGCGAGGAGGAACAACAGCCAGCAGATACCAGTTCACGCGTGTAATAGCGTGCACAAATATCGGTCCCCTCGACACCCAAATGGCTGATCTTTGTCACCCTGAGTCCGAGCAAGGTACCAGAGCACAAATGCCGTCCGAGTGTGCTTTGGCTGAACCGCTGTGAGCATTAGAACGCAGCTGCCGTCAGACTAACGGACTCCGCATATCCCTGTTATCTGGTTACGTTGGATGTTGACCATCTTAATGTCATATATGCCATATGGTCTTGACTTTCGTACTCGCTTTCTGTTTCCCGTCGTAAAGCAACAGCAGCTGTACAGCTGGATTGCGCTGCCCACCGCTGTTGTTCGGCAGTGAGGGGTATGAACCACTTCGTCAATTCCCCTCAATGCTGTCCTCCCGACCCGTGGCATTGTCCTGCTGCCGTCGAGCTGCAGTCCTCCGGGGACTGTTGTCCTGCTGCCGTCGGGCTGCAGTCCTCCGGGGACTGTTGTCCTGCTGCCGTCGAGCTGCAGTCCTCCGGGGACTGTTGTCCTGCTGCCGTCGAGCTGCAGTCCTCCGGGGACTGTTGTCCTGCTGCCGTCGAGCTGCAGTCCTCCGGGGACTGTTGTCCTGCTGCCGTCGAGCTGCAGTCCTCCGGGGACTGTTGTCCTGCTGCCGTCGGGCTGCAGTCCTCCGGGGACTGTTGTCCTGCTGCCGTCGAGCTGCAGTCCTCCGGGGACTGTTGTCCTGCTGCCGTCGAGCTGCAGTCCTCCGGGGACTATTGTCCTGCTGCCGTCGGGCTGCAGTCCTCCGGGGACTGTTGTCCTGCTGCCGTCGGGCTGCAGTCCTCCGGGGACTGTTGTCCTGCTGCCGTCGGGCTGCAGTCCTCCGGGGACTGTTGTCCTGCTGCCGTCGAGCTGCAGTCCTCCGGGGACTGTTGTCCTGCTGCCGTCGAGCTGCAGTCCTCCGGGGACTGTTGTCCTGCTGCCGTCGAGCTGCAGTCCTCCGGGGACTGTTGTCCTGCTGCCGTCGAGCTGCAGTCCTCCGGGGACTGTTGTCCTGCTGCCGTCGGGCTGCAGTCCTCCGGGGACTGTTGTCCTGCTGCCGTCGAGCTGCAGTCCTCCGGGGACTATTGTCCTGCTGCCGTCGGGCTGCAGTCCTCCGGGGACTGTTGTCCTGCTGCCGTCGAGCTGCAGTCCTCCGGGGACTGTTGTCCTGCTGCCGTCGAGCTGCAGTCCTCCGGGGACTGTTGTCCTGCTGCCGTCGAGCTGCAGTCCTCCGGGGACTGTTGTCCTGCTGCCGTCGAGCTGCAGTCCTCCGGGGACTGTTGTCCTGCTGCCGTCGAGCTGCAGTCCTCCGGGGACTGTTGTCCTGCTGCCGTCGAGCTGCAGTCCTCCGGGGACTGTTGTCCTGCTGCCGTCGGGCTGCAGTCCTCCGGGGACTGTTGTCCTGCTGCCGTCGAGCTGCAGTCCTCCGGGGACTGTTGTCCTGCTGCCGTCGGGCTGCAGTCCTCCGGGGACTATTGTCCTGCTGCCGTCGGGCTGCAGTCCTCCGGGGACTGTTGTCCTGCTGCCGTCGAGCTGCAGTCCTCCGGGGACTGTTGTCCTGCTGCCGTCGGGCTGCAGTCCTCCGGGGACTATTGTCCTGCTGCCGTCGGGCTGCAGTCCTCCGGGGACTATTGTCCTGCTGCCGTCGGGCTGCAGTCCTCCGGGGACCGTTGTCCTGCTGGCCGGTGCTGACGGGGCGGGTGTCTGTCGGGACCGTTGTCCTGGCGGCCGGTGCTGACGGGGCGGGTGTCTGCCGGGCCTGCTGTCCTGGCGGCCGGTGCTGATGGGGCGGGTGTCTGTCGGGCCTGCTGTCCTGGTGGCCGGTGCTGACGGGGCGGGTGTCTGTCGGGACCGTTGTCCTGGTGGCCGGTGCTGACGGGGCGGGTGTCTGTCGGGCCTGCTGTCCTGGTGGCCGGTGCTGACGGGGCGGGTGTCTGTCGGGACTGCTGTCCTGGCGGCCGGTGCTGACGGGGCGGGTGTCTGTCGGCGGCAGTGGAGATGGCCGGTGAGACCATGACCTTCCTGGACACGCCCGGGCACGCGGCCTTCTCGGCGATGCGGCAGCGCGGCGCGCTGGCCACCGACCTGGTGGTGCTGGTGGTGGCCGCCGATGACGGCGTGATGCAGCAGACCCGTGAGAGCGTCCAGCACGCCGCAGACGCCGGCGTCCCGCTCCTGGTAGCTATCAACAAGTGCGACAAGCCCGACGCCGACGTGGTGAGTGGGTCCCCCGGGCCGCGCCCGCCATGGTAACGCCACTGACGGCGGCCGGACAGCCTGAAGCTGGGCAGACCGCTTGGCCTAGGCATTGAAATATTCGAGGACGTATGTTTGCATGCCACCAAACAGATTTCAGTGGGATTTGTGGTAGGTAGGGCACACGAACCAATTTTCAACGATGATGCGAAGCCCGGGTTAAGGTGAAGGACCACAGGTGATGGTAACAGTAGCAGGTCGTTGTTGTTGTTTTTTGCGCATTTCTGAAAAGGAGCGCCACGTGACCCTAGCTAAAATGGCTGCTCGTAATACGTGCGCAGAAGTTACTTCATTTGGTCCAGAATTTTATGTAATATTTGTACTGCATAGATTTCGATCGTAGTGTCGTAATATATGGTAGCTTGTGATTCTCAACAGGAGCCCTATGGCTGTCCGGTACGTTTGATGCTCGCCAGCATTTGCTGTACAGTCGTTTTCTCTAGGATTCGTGCCTGGTGATGATGACCACAAATATTCTATCTCACCCACCCGGGCCGGGGACATCGCAGCGAGTTGTGAACTTTGCAGGCACAAAATGATGTGGAGTGTTTTTGTAAACATTTGTACACCGTGCGAGCATGTTTTAGAAAGGTTTTGATCGTTCGAATGCTGATTTCGCCTCTTGATGCTCTATTTATTTTTTCGTACGAATATTTGAGTTAAGTGAGGAAGGCATTCATCCCCTGGTTTTGGTGCATTATGAGTTCAAAGTTATTTTGATAAATTATGTTCCCTCAATATACCAGGAAGCACTGGTTAAACTACACTACATGGCAAACATTGTGAAGAATTTCGATACTTGACGTTTTAAGCTGTACGCGTGAGCTGAAATTTTTTTGTGGAGTTATCGGCCTTCGATGTACTAGGAAACACTGGCTAAACGACATCACAGAACTTACATTGGCCATATTGTTATGCTCGGCATTTCAAGCTATGCGTATGATCACGGGCAAACCAAGGTGAGCAAAGTTAAGCAAAATACAAATCCGAATCTGTGCCGCTAAAAGATGTGAATACAACAAATCATCCGAGCCCCCACATCCCAACCCCGGCTGCACCGTTCTACCTTCAAAGCTGCACGAAACAGGCGTCTAGGCCAGGTCACGGTGACCCGTACCGAGGAGGATATTACAAAATCACTCGCAACGAGGATCACACGACACAAACATTGCACGAAGCTCACGAGCGTCCCTGGTATTTGGGCTCTCACGGCCCAGTACCCCATGCACGATAGTGCTCAGGGCTGCGCGAAGCCCAGATGGCACGCTGAGAGGTTTTGTGCTGATCGTACATGGCATCAGGGTAGAAAGGCGTTCGCCGGCGGTCAGCGGTGCTCATCTGAAGACATTCGTAGCTGTATCCTAAACGTGCCCCCAAAAATGCTGCTCAAACCAGGTGTCATGGTAACATGGTACAAACCAGATTCCATGGTAACGCGGAACCAGGTCCCATCAGATCCCACGGTAAATATGGTACAAACCAGGTTCCATGGTAGCATGGTACAAACCAGATCCCATGGTAACATGGTGCAAACCAGGTCCCACGGTAAGATGGTACAAACCAGGCCCCATGGTAACATGGTACAAACCAGGTCCCACGGTAAACATGGTACAAACCAGGTCCCATGGTAACATGGTACAAACTAGATCTCACGGTAAACATGGCTCAAGCCAGGTCACATGGCAACATGGTATAAACCAAATACCATGGTAACATGGTACAAAGCGGACCCCACGGTAACATGTTACAAAACAGGCCCCATGGTTTGTTTGTTCAACCTCCCATGAAGATTACGAATGCGCAGCGACCGCAGGCGACTGCAGCGACTGCTGGTGACTGCTGCAGTGGACTCAGCATAAGAACTCTGAGCTCATGATTCGGATGATGATTGCGGATCGGAGTGTTCAGCTCTAGTGGAGGCTCGACCCTAGGTAGTCGTGGTGGATAGATGCGTGGTGTTCCCGCTTCATTTGTTTTTAGTTGGTTGTGGTTGTCTGTGATGTGTATTGTCCCACGATTTGTAGAAATGTGGTTTGTATGTGCAGTTGAAAATCAGTTCTTTGCCGCATCTACCGCGTTGCGAGTCTCCGTTTACACGCGATGCGAGGGGATCTGCTCACATTGATGAAAGGACTCACCACTGGCCCAGTTCGGTAGTCGTTCCGTCACGAAACAAGAGGGGATGCGCATCGAGCCTGGGTAGCTGAGGAGGAACGTCAACTTATACAAGCGTAAAAAGTTGTGTGATGGGAGCTTAAGAGCCTCTCCTTAAAACATGACCTGATCCAACCATTTGAATAGGATGTGGCTGATTACAAACCGCGCCAGCTCTCAGTCATGACGTCAGTGAGCTTAAGCCTGGACAGCGCGTCCAGCCGGAGTAAGGCGCTGGCGCGGGTGACTGCGACGCGGTGGGTGGGCATGGACGTGACACGCGCCGCTGCGGACCTGAGCGCCGCCCGTGCCGCCGCAGGAGGCCACCAAGCGGTCGCTGCTGGCGGCCGGCGTACAGCTGGAGGAGCTGGGCGGGGACGTGCAGGCGGTGCAGATCTCGGCCCTGCACGGCCATGGCCTCACCGAGCTCAAGGAGACCATCCTGGCGCTGGCCGAGGTGCTCGAGCTCAGGTGAGAGCGCACCTGACTGGGCGGGCGCCGGCGGAGCGGCCGGCGGAGGGGCCGGGCGGGGCTCTGCTACCCCCTCCCTCTACCTCCCCCCCGTCAGCCGCCTGGGCGGGCGCCGGCGGAGCGGCCGGCGGAGGGGCCGGGTGGGGCTCTGCTACCCCCTCCCCCCCACCTCCCCCCCGTCAGCCGGCTGGGCGGGAGCCGGCGGAGGGGCCGGGCGGGGCTCTGCTACCCCCTCCCCCCTACCTCCCCCCTGTCAGCCGGCTGGGCGGGAGCCGGCGGAGGGGCCGGGCGGGCGCCGGCGGAGCGGCCGGCGGAGGGGCCGGGCGGGGCTCTGTTACCCCCCCCCCCCTACCTCCCCCCTGTCAGCCGGCTGGGCGGGAGCCGGCGGAGGGGCCGCAGGGGGCTCCGCTGCCCTCCTGTCAGCCGGCCGGGCGGGCGCCGGCGGAGGGGCCGCAGGGGCTCCGCTGCCCTCCTGTCAGCCGGCCGGGCGGGCGCCGGCGGAGGGGCCGCAGGGGCTCCGCTGCCCTCCTGTCAGCCGGCCGGGCGGGCGCCGGCGGAGGGGCCGCAGGGGCTCCACTGCCCTCCTGTCAGCCGGCCGGGCGGGCGCCGGCGGAGGGGCCGCAGGGGCTCCGCTGCCCTCCTGTCAGCCGGCCGGGCGGGCGCCGGCGGAGGGGCCGCAGGGGCTCCGCTGCCCTCCTGTCAGCCGGCCGGGCGGGCGCCGAAAGACCTTGTGCGTGGTCTCTTTCGGTGTGTTCTGAGCTCATTAAAAGGCGACTGTAAAAGAAGCGCGGCGCTGACAGAACAAAATCAACTGGTGTCTCATTTACTTTTGTGTGGTAGGATTTCTTCCCTTCCAGGGCTTCAAGATCATATAAATTGCACTAGATACAATCTCGTATTACTTCGTTCCCCACCCCACCCCTACCCCACCCCCATTCCCACATCTACTCGCATCCCCTCCCCCACCGCAAGCCTGCTCCCCCAGTGTGAAATATTGCAATTCCAAGGTATACATCATACTGAATGCATAGTCGAGCAATGCGGCCAAAAGCAAACAAATTACGAACCGATGCTTGTGTTTACGATACAGGAGGCAAATACCCCAAATCTGACGAGAAAACGGCATTAGGATTAATATGAAGTCGATCCGCTCGTGACAAAGCTCTCCCGACAGCTGGTGTTGTGGAACCACAGACTGACGCCCATCCGACTCACGCGGCAGCTGAGGCCTGTGGCTCCACGGCCGTGCGGCGTCACGACACGTGGCCTGGCCTTGCGAATCTGTAAGCTGAAGATGGAATGCAGATTATTTGCTGCCAGGATAACGTTCCCAGCTGGGTAACTGATCTGATTACGAAACGGTTACAGGGGCGACCAAAGCGGCCTGGTGGAGGGAGTCGTCATTGAGAGCAGAACTGATCACAAGCGAGGGTGAGGAATGACTCCGGGATGTGGAGATGACTTTGCGCTGCACTAGTTTTAATGTTAATGTATTTCCAACTCCGTTCCACTTTGTGTTTGCCGGTTCATCAAACGAGCGACTTCGTGTTACGTCATGCCACGCCGTGACTTATCGTTGAAGCGCCAACGGGCCTTTCGTGTCCTGAGGAGCTTTAATTGGTTTGAGCAGTGCCGTCACTGTCTGCTGTGCACAGCCGTCACTGTCTGCTGCGCGTGGCCGGCTTAGTACGGCGCTGGTGCAGCGTCCCATGTCTACCCGTCACTGTCTGCCCCGCGTCTACACGTCCCGTGTCGCGCCCCATGTCTACCCGTCACTGTCTGCCCCGCGTCTACCCGTCCCGTGTGCTGCCCCATGTCTAGCCGTCAGTGTCTGCCCCGCGTCTACCCGTCCCGTGTACGGCCCCATGCCGGCCCGGTATTGTCGGCCCCGCGTTCAGCCGTCACCGTCTGCGATGCGCAGCCGGCTGAGCACGGTGCTGGTGCAGCGCGGCACGCTACGGCGCGGCGCCGTGCTGGTGTCGGGTGGCTGCTGGGCCCGCGTGCGCGCCATGTTCGACGACGCCGGCCTGCCGGTGCAGCGCGCGCTGCCCAGCAGCCCGGTCGAGGTGCTGGGCTGGCGCGAGCTGCCCTCGGCCGGACAGACCGTGCTCGAGGTCCACTCGGAGGTCAGTTGTCCGGCCGCTCGGCCGGCCGGCTGCGCGCGCAGGCCGGCTCTCATGTACTCATGCGACGGCGCTCCGCTCTACAGACGGGGGGGGGGGGGGGGGGTGTGTGGTTCCCACCTTCTTACTGGGTGCTGTATACTGTTTTACCCGAGTTAGCAATAGTTGTGCCATTGGAGCTTTGCCGTATTTATTTCAGCGCTCTTTATGTGGAATCTCGTACATTTGACACTCGAGGGGATTGGATTGATGCTGTCGGTGTATAAATTCGTGGATCACTAAAAGGTGTAAATGTTGATATGATTTGTCTGTAACAATGTGGCGAGTGCTGAGCTCGCGTCCCCGCTCGGGGTACCTTACATCGTGCAATTACACGGAATGTATGTCCTCTCCAAAACGTGCCACCATTGAAACCCTTGTCGGCAGCCACATGCAATGGTTACATTTGGCTCACCAGCGAGTGGCTCTGCCATCGATGACTGAGTTTGTGCTGGGCTGCAGCGCCAGGCCAGGGAGGTGGTGGGGTGGCGCCAGAGCCAGGAGTCCCACCGCAAGGCACAGGACAATCAGCTGGCCGCCCAGCAGAAGCTGGAGGCGCATCTGGCAGAGTACCGCGCGGCACGCCAGGAGCGGCTCCAGAAGGGTCTGAGGTGAGGGGCGGCTCCGACACACGGTGTGCACAAGTACTTAGAACGCTGCGGCGGCCAGCCAAATAGTGCCATTTGTGGATATAGTGCGGGGCCCACGCCTTCCATCTGCCTGTGTATTGGCATAATCACACAGCCAATTTAATGGAATGGCATTGACGGATGGCATACAATGTGCTCAAAAATTAAAGGGAATGTTTCGCTACAACACTTAACCCCGATATTTTGAAGTGTGTGGTGGAGCCTAACGTGATTGCACAGGTTCGTGCTCCCAGCTGACTTGAAGTGGCCGGACCTTATTTGTCAATGATTCACCGACAAACAGAAAAAGAACATATACAGCGGGTTAGGACGCGGAGAAAGAGATTAAAACCCCCAATGCAGATGGAGCTTGTCGCCTGCTTTTCTTCACATCGCTTCTGTGAAGGACCGCATATGCCTAAAGTTAACGCCTGCAACGTCATCGAACACAAATCCCGATGGGAGTGTGCCGTGCCCGTTCCGAGCGTGCGTTGCGCCCGTTCCGAGCGTGCGTTATGACTGTTCCGAGCGAGCGTTGTGACCATTCCCAGCTCGCATTGTGACCGTTCCGGACATGCGTCGTGACGGTGCTGGGCGTGCGTTGTGGCCGTTCCGAGCGTGCGTTGTGACCGTTCCGAGCGCGTGCGTTGTCACTGTTTCGTGCGTGCATTCCTGGCAGCCGTGACTGTAGCGAGCGGCCTTTTGGGGTCATGGAGTCGATTTATATCCGTTTTGCATGACGCGATTTTCACATGCACCCAGCCGTTTGTGTAGTGTATCCTATTTGGGCCGCTTGGAGAATTATTTTCTTGCCGAACAGGTTCAACGTGAGGTCGAAGGGTCCTCGGAAAAAAGAGGCAACCGATCAGCACTCGGGCCCTACCCTCTCCATCGTGGTGAAAGGTGAGCAGTTTGTCAATGAGGTCGTGTGGTGGCGCATTGTTTCCCACGCGTTGGTGAGCTTCGGACACGCTGCTCGTTTTCATTTATCATGCAAGTCTGGTACCTTGGCTTTGCTCCGGTTAATGTTGTGGTGCGTATGGCCGACTGGTGCTAGACACGTTGCTTTCTGTGTTTGGCGTGCAGGGGACGTGGACGGCTCGGTGGAGGCGATCCTGGACGTGCTGGACACTTACCACGAGCCGGAGGTGCGGCTGGACGTGCTGCACTACGGCGTCGGCGCCGTCACTGAGAGCGACATCAGCATCGCGCAGATGTTCAACGGTGATAGCACGGAACTCGACAGACTCGTGCGGGCATGCCGCTGAACCGGCTCTGACTCTTGTGGGCATGTCGCTGAATCGACTCTGATTCGTGCGGGCATGCCGCTGATCCGGCTCTGATTCGTGCGGGCATCCCGATGAACCGGCTCTGATTCGTGCAGGCATGTCACTGAACCGGCTCTGACTCGTGTGGGCATGTCGCCGAACTGACTGACTCGTGCGGATATGCCGATGAACCGGCTCTGACTCTTGCGGGCATGTCGCTGAACCGGCCCTGAGTCGTGCAGGCATGCCACTGAACCGGCTCTGACTCGTGTGGGCATGTCGCTGAACTGACTGACTCGTGCGGACATGCCGATGAACCGGCTCTGACTCTTGCGGGCATGCCGCTGAACCGGCTCTGACTCGTGTGGGCATGTCGCTGAACTGACTGACTCGTGCGGACATGCCGATGGACCGGCTCTGATTCATGCAGGCATGCCGCTGAACCGTCTCTGACTCATGTGGGCATGTTGCTGAACCGGCTGACTCGTGCGAACATGCCGATGAACCAGCTCTGACTCGTTTAGACATGTCGCTGAATCGGCTCTGACCCGTGCGGAAATGCCGATGAACCGGCTCTGACTCATGTGGGCATGTTGCTGAACCGGCTATGACTCGTGCGGACATGCCGATGAACCGGCTCTGACTCGTGCGGACATGCCGATGAACCGGCTCTGACTCGTGCGGATATGCCGACGAACCGGCTCTGACTCGTGCGGACACGTCGCAGTCGTGGCAGTAGCGGCCAGCCTTGCTAGCTAGGCGTTCTTACTTGTAACAAAACTAGAGGAAATTGCACCAAGCCATGGAATACTGGGAAAAAGAGCACTGTTTTTGGCGATAACGCTATGTCTTTTTGCCATAGGCCGTGGCATCTACCGCTTGTAAAGGAAATAATTTTGTGTGCGTGTAGTGCAAGCTTTAATTGGTGCAAAGTCTATTACGCCCATCAGTTTCAGCGAACCCATGTTTGTTTTTTCAACGGTGGACAATTGCGTTAGACGGCAGGAACCCCGTTCATCATCGCCGCCGTGAAATTCGTCAGCAAGCGTGATGCCGCGGGCAGGTGTCGTGTACGGCTTCAACGTGGAGGTGTCGGCCGAGGTGGCCGCGCTCGCGCGCGCCTCCAACACGCCCGTCCGCCTGCTGAACGTCATCTACCGACTGGTGGACGACGTACGAGAGGAGATCAACCAGCGCATGCCGGTCACGGATGTGGAGGAGGTGATCGGTGAGAGACTCAGGATGTAGAAAAAGTGATCTGGGTGAAGAACTCAGGGTGTGGAGAAGGTGATCGGTGAGACCCATGGCATGGAGGTGTTCGGTGAGAGACCCAGGGCATGGAGGTGTTCGGTGAGAGACCCAGGGCATGGAGGTGTTCGGTGAGAGACCCAGGGCATGGAGGTGTTCGGTGAGAGACCCAGGGCATGGAGGTGTTCGGTGAGAGACTCAGGGCATAGAGGTGTTCGGTGAGACCCAGGGCAGGGAGGTGTTCGGTGAGAGACCCAGGGCATGGAGGTGTTCGGTGAGAGACTCAGGGCATAGAGGTGTTCGGTGGGAGACTCAGGGCATGGAGGTGATCGGTGAGACCCAGGGCAGGGAGGTGTTCGGTGAGAGACCCAGGGCATGGAGGAGGTGTTCGGTGAGGGGCCCGGTACATGGAGGAGGTGTTTGGTGAGAGACTCAGGGCATGGAGGTGTTCGGTGAGAGACCCAGGGCATGGAGGTGTTCGGTGAGAGACTCAGGGCATGGAGGTGTTCGGTGAGACCCAGGGCAGGGAGGTGTTCGGTGAGAGACCCAGGGCATGGAGGTGTTCGGTGAGAGACCCAGGTCGTGGAGAAGGTGTTCGGTGAGAGACCCAGGTCGTGGAGGAGGTGTTCGGTGAGAGACTCAGAGTGCAGATGTGATTGGTGAGAGACTCAGAGTGCAGATGTGATTGGTGAGAGACTCAGAGTGTAGATGTGATTGGTGAGAGACTCAGAGTGTAGATGTGATTGGTGAGAGACTCAGAGTGTAGATGTGATTGGTGAGAGACTCAGAGTGTAGATGTGATTGGTGAGAGACTCAGAGTGTAGATGTGATTGGTGAGAGACTCAGAGTGTAGATGTGATTGGTGAGAGACTCAGAGTGTAGATGTGATTGGTGAGAGACTCAGAGTGTAGATGTGATTGGTGAGAGACTCAGAGTGCAGATGTGATTGGTGAGAGACTCAGAGTGCAGATGTGATTGGTGAGAGACTCAGAGTGCAGATGTGATTGGTGAGAGACTCAGAGTGCAGATGTGATTGGTGAGAGACTCAGAGTGCAGATGTGATTGGTGAGAGACTCAGAGTGCAGATGTGATTGGTGAGAGACTCAGAGTGCAGATGTGATTGGTGAGAGACTCAGAGTGCAGATGTGATTGGTGAGAGACTCAGAGTGTAGATGTGATTGGTGAGAGACTCAGAGTGTAGATGTGATTGGTGAGAGACTCAGAGTGCAGATGTGATTGGTGAGAGACTCAGAGTGCAGATGTGATTGGTGAGAGACTCAGAGTGTAGATGTGATTGGTGAGGGACGCAGCTGGTCGCGACCTGAGGGACCGACGTGTCGCCGTCCCGGTGTACGTCATACGGTAATGGGCCGCACGCTCGCGGCGCTGATGAGGCCCATGCATCAGACACAGGGCACGATGTATGTGTTGAGCCGGTCAGGCTGTGGCGTAGGTATGATCAGGCCCTTGATGTAGGTATGATCAGGCCCGTGTGCCGCGGATAAGCCACGTCGGCGTGCGGCCATATGTGTGTTGAGCCGGACAGGCTTTGGTGTAGGTATGCTCAGGCCCGTGATGTAGGCATGATCAGGGCTCTAATGTAGGTATGATCAGGCCCTTGATGTAGGTATGATCAGGCCCTTGATGTAGGTATGATCAGGCCCTTGATGTAGGTATGATCAGGCCCTTGATGTAGGTATGATCAGGCCCTTGATGTAGGCATGATCAGGCCCGTGATGTAGGCATGATCAGGCCCTTGATGTAGGTATGATCAGGCCCTTGATGTAGGTATGATCAGGCCCGTGATGTAGGCATGATCAGGCCCTTGATGTAGGTATGATCAGGCCCGTGATGTAGGCATGATCAGGCCCTTGATGTAGGTATGATCAGGCCCGTGATGTAGGTATGATCAGGCCCGTGATGTAGGTATGATTAGGCCCGTGTGCCGCGGATAAGCCACGTCGGCGTGCGGCGATGTCTGTGTGTTCGTGTGCGGTGAATTGGATTGGTTTGGCCCGTGCACGACAGGCTATTCTTGCCACCCTGCCCTTTATTCGACAGGTGAGGCGAACGTTTTGCAGGAATTCATTGTCACTGAGAAGAAGCACAAGATCCCTGTGGCGGGCTGCAGATGCGTGAAAGGCCTGCTCAAGAAATCCGAGAAATACCGACTAGTGCGCGAAGGAGAGACAATACATGAAGGTACAATTTTTGCCTGCGATTTAACGTACTTAGTCTAGTTACATTCTAAACCGGTGGTTACAGAATAAATATTTGCGCCTAATTATATAGGTCGCTTAATATAATATAATATAATAGGTCACTTAACTAGAGCTTGGTGCTGTTTAATCGCACTGCCCGTCAAACCAAATAGACGATATGGCTCATGCTGAATAATATTGCTGCCAAAGCGACGATTGACAAGGTGCATAATTTTGAAGGCACCATTCCGACTATGCCGCATGGATGAATGTATCGGAGGTCCATCTGCTAACTAAGCATAGCTTACTGTAAAGACCGCGACCCCCACCACCTCACTATAGCAATCCCGGCACAGTCGGCACCACCCGTCAGAAGACTGTAGCCTGCCAGGCAGTGCTGCGATGCGGCTGTCCATGGCCCGGCGCTCTCAAGAGCTGGCACATGGCCTGTATTGGAATGCGATCACGTAAACCCTGGCCACACACTAGTCAGTGTCCGACGCCGTTCTGAGCTACGCGGGCGCACCGGGCTGCTGGGCGTAGTTTTTGTTTTGCCGAGACGCACTCGGGGACTGATTGTGCCGATCTCACGACCCCGGCACGTCGCATGACCTAAAGGCCGAGAGCACAGCCGCACCAGAGGCTGGTGCCGGTGGGCTGTATGGCCTCAATGCAACGGTGCCGCGTTGTCGGCAGGCGCCATGGCCTCGATGCGACACCTGAAGAATGAGGTCGACACCATCAAGAAGGACGTGGAGTGCGGCCTGATGCTGGCCGACACGGAGGTGCGCTTCGAGCCGGGTGATACGCTCATCTGCTACCGAACCGTGCAGCGAGAGCAGACCACCAACTGGGACGCGGGCTTCTAGGCATCGCGCCGCTGCCCGGGCTGCCAGCGGGGCGGGTCATGTGATGTGTGACTTGTGGATCGAGTCGCTTGATGTCCCGCAGAGATGAAATGATGATGATTGTAGATGCTCCGTTCGCTTGATACTTGACGTTCGGCGGAGAAATATACGCCTGACGATGATCTCCGAGTTCCGTGTTTATGTACGACTCACTGAGATAGGTTACCTGTGGCTATGGTCTCTGAAGGGTTCCGCGTTTAGGTACGACTCACTGATTTAGGTTTCATGCGGTTATGGTTTCTGAAGGGTTCCGTGTCTAGGTACGACTCACTGACTTAGGTTATCTGTGGCTACGGTCTCTGGCGGATTCCGTATTTAGGTACGACTCACTGACTTAGGTTACCTGTGGCTATGGTCTGAAGGGTTCCGTGTTTAGGTACGACTCACTGACTAAGGGCGGTTGTGGTAGTAACGCGTGAAGCACCGCTTATAGACCGCGATAACCGACTGAAACGAGTCAACTTCACCTTGAATTAAAGCGCATAAATAAGTCCTTGAGCGCAAGCGATATGGTTAGGCATCGCGTCCCCAACCGTTCAGTATGTCCCGGCCTTGAAGGTCGACTTATTCAGTACTTTGTAAAGGGAAAATAGTGCTGATTCTCCCATATACTGCCAGGAGGGATGCATACTGTAACACCGCCACAACCCAGCTGAAGAACCATTAGTTGCAGGAGGCGGCGAAAATTTTGCTATTGTACTGTGTGCCCATCAGTTTCAGACATACCCCGGGTTCGACGAAATTCGGCGAAAAATTGGCCGCGTGAATGTGGCGGAAAACGGTATGTAATGGCACTAACCCCAGACGAAGAGAACTCTGGGAGGGGGCACCGAGGTATCCGTTGTCAGTCATGTCACCGTATGCTGTCAGTTCCAAGTTGGCGCTGAGTTTAGTCAGCGCCAGCGGAGTGCGTGGGTGTCTGCCGCTAGATATGTGTGAAACTCTGCCCCAGGCATACCTGAATCGCACGTACTGGCGCTGGGCCAGGACCGCTTTGCGCGACACGTGGGTTCGCTAGTTCGCTGGAACCATTCAATTTCCATGTGTTCCACTTTATTGCTGTCATGCTGGCTAATTCAAATTAGACTTGTTTGTCAAACTTCGGTCGCCATTTTCCAGCCTTCTCCCGGACGCAGCCGATGCCGCCACGCTCACGAGCGCGTACACCGGTGTGTCCGCTAATGGTCAGAATGTTCGTGTGGCGGCAGCACGTCGTCTGCGTGGACACTGACAGCCAATGGCTACTTGGTTTTCTTAACGATTTCCTTCACTAATAACGGAGTGCGTGTGTTCGGGCCAGCCTCAGCAATGACCCGGGACCCAGCCACGTCTGTTGCGCCGCCCGGCCACGTTCACGTATGTGCCCAGCATGTCCCACGCCGCGGCCAGCTCAGTGAGTTTACAGATACGGGAGCACAGCTAGCTCGGTGTATATGCAGATACAGGATTAACGAGGGCACAGCCAGACCAGATCGGTGCACAAAGCTCCAGAATGTCACGCAAGACAACTGGTAAATTAGGGTGCTGAACACACGCATAACGCTAGACACCCCACGCTTCCCTCACTGGCGGCAGGGGGTGCCCAACGAACGCAGCGTTCGCATTCTCCACAGGGCTGCATTAGCCAGGACGGCTAGGCACCGACGCTCGTGGGCGTTTGCATCACCGCGGGGTGCGGCTCGTTGACAACTCGTGGATCAATCTCGTGTACCGCCTGCGCGTGAGATAATACAAAATTGCTAACGAGCTTAACGACTTACAACGAGCATGTCTATAATGCTACACGCACACTTGCAAAAACATTTTAAGCATAACTGAACAAGCTGGTCAATTTGCATATGAAGCCTACAAGCGCGGAATATGGTATTGCTATAAGCGTTGTTATATGTCACTGGGGGCCGCTGGAAGCACTGGGCACCATGACTGCTTTGTGTATTTCCATGGCTGATTTGTTCGCCAAAGGGAACTTGCCAGATTTACCCAGACAGCGGTTCTTTGTTCAAGCAAGGCTGCTGACTATGTCCGATCAGCGCCAAACCACGACTCCAAGCCGGCCCGGACAAGCAGACGGAGAGACATCCCCGAAGTTTGTCCCACGTGACTGCCAATAAATAAGTACGAGAATATACGTGCCCGTAAAACTGCTCCAGCCGCTTGGCAGACCGCTGCTGGAGGGAGATTAGGGCCGAGCTCAGCCGCCTCCGTCGTTGCGGACTGGTCTGCAGCCGGCGCCGCGCCGCGCCGCGCCGCGCCGCGCCTCGCCGCGCCGCGCCCGCTCCGTTGTACCGTCGTCTGACTAGTGGGTGGGCGCGCCGCCCGGCGCGCAGCCGGCCGCCGCTCAGGGCTCGTCGCCGCCCTCCGCACCGTACGGCTCCGGCTCGGCCTCGGCCGGCTCCCACTTGTCAAGCTCGAACGAGAAGCGTCGCTCGCCACCGACGGCGCCGCGCTCAGCCGGCGGCGAGTCGGCGCCGGCCGCCGACGCCGCTGCCGCAGCGCCCTCCACCGGCTCCGGCTCCTCCTGCTCGGGTGTCAGCTGCCGCTCCACATCACACTGCGCCGGACACTCGAAGTGCACGCAGTGGAACACCTGCGGCCGCCGGCGCAGCGTCACACACGGAGACCATGGACAGACGGTGGACCGCCGCCAGGACCGGACAGCCGACATACGCCGAGGTGTACCACGCACGAGGCACACACACGCACGCACGCACGCACGCACGCACACCACGGGTGCCAGGATGGGCGCTATTGTGTTCAGGCGCAGTCGGCGATATACAGACGACTTGCGCTGCAGTATGTGAAGGCGTTGTGGAACACAGTAGCTGGATGTGTGACAGATGTGTGGAGGCGACTGGACGGTACAGCGCTGTCTGCCGACCTGGAGCACCACTTGCCTGTCCCGCCGGCATCGGTACGGCCCAGCCATCACACATATGTCCAATGATCAACGCGCCAATCACAATGTCACAGCACAGACGCCAACGTGAAGGGTGCGGGTAGGAAATACCGGTGGTCTCGTATGAATGTCAAGCCGACAGGTGACAATGCATGGCACACGCGCCCCCGGCTTCCGTTGACGGTGGGCGGACACAGTTACACCAAACGGCTGGATCCGAGCCTGGCGAGCGGTGATGAAGCTGCAAACTGAACAAACGAGACGCAAGCGCGGCTGCCCCGCCGGATCCATGGATCCCCTGGTGTGCGCCGCTGGGGCCTCCCCTCCACCTCACCTCGTTGGCCGAGTTTCTGGTGCCGACGATGCGGATGAAGACGACCGGCCGGCGCCGGAACGTGACCACCTGCCAGGAGCGGCACAGCGAGCGGGACCGGTCGCACACCGTCGTCCAGTCGCGCTGGTTGGTCGACACTTCGATGTAATAGCCGTACGTACGGTCGTCGCAGTCCCAGAGCAGCAGCCTGGAACGGAGCGGCGGGCGCGTTACGCCACACCGACCCGGGGAGGGGGGGCGGGGGGGGGGCGGGGGCGGCACACGCGCCGCTGAGGGTCGGGCCGAGGCGGCGGCCGCACCGCGACGTCGGCGCCAGTCACCGCGCGCTGCGCCCACGAGCTCAGGTCACGCCGGAGACGGGAGCCCATGGGACAGGGTGTGACTGGCATGACCGACGCGTCGAGCAGGCCGCCGGCCGGGGGCGGCGGCTCACCTCACGCTGTCCAGCAGGAGAGACTGGGCTCACCTCATGTTGTCCAGCAGGAGAGGCTGGGCTCACCTCATGCCATCCAGCAGGAGAGGCCGGGCTCACCTCATGCTGTCTAGCAGGAGAGACTGGGCTCATCTCATGCTGTCCAGCAGGAGAGACTGGGCTCACCTTATGTTGTCCAGCAAGAGAGGCTGGGCTCACCTCATGTTGTCCAGCAGGAGAGGCCGGGCTCACCTCATGCTGTCCAGCAGGAGAGGCTGGGCTAACCTCATGCTGTCCAGCAGGAGAGGCTGGGCTCCCCTCATGCCATCCAGCAGGAGAGGCCGGGTTTACCTCATGCTGTCCAGCAGGAGAGACTGGGCTCACTTCATGCTGTCCAGCAGGAGAGACTGGGCTCACCTCATGCCATCCAGCAGGAGAGGCCGGGCTTACCTCATGCTGTCCAGCAGGAGAGGCTGGGCTTACCTCATGCTGTCCAGCAGGAGAGGCTGGGCTCACCTCATGCTGTCCAGCAGGAGAGACTGGGCTCACCTCATGCTGTCCACCAGGAGAGGCTGGGCTCACCTCATGCTGTCCAGCAGGAGAGACTGGGCTCACCTCATTCTGTCTAGCAGGAGGGGCTGGGCTCGCCTCGTGCTATCCAGCAGGAGAGGCTGGGCTCCCCTCATGCTGTCCAGCAGGAGAGGCTGGGCTCCCCTCATGCTGTCCAGCAGGAGAGGCTGGGCTCATCTCATGCTGTCCAGCAGGAGGGGTTGGGCTCACCTCATGCTGTCCAGCAGGAACGGCTGGCCCAGCTGCACCACCACGCTGCCGCTGCCCAGCTGGTGGCACGTGTAGCCGTGGTCCCAGTCGTACTTGTCCGTGTCGCCGTTGAGCAGGGCGTGGCGGCTCCGGGACACGCCCTCGATCACCATGGCCGAGCGCTGCAGCGTGGCCACGTTCTCGCGCGGCACTGGCGGCGCGCGCCGGCCAGTGTTAGCAGTGCAGGCGCCGACACGCACCAGCGGCTGGCTCGGCGGACATCGACGGTGGCCCGGTCGGGGGTGGCACCTCCAGCCCACCGTGGAATACGTAACGTCACAAGCGGACTCAACGACAGGAACAAACTGTCGGCGCGTGAGGACCAGACGATCTGCTGCGCTCCACACGGGAGCGCCAGCGCCCATGCAGCGGCGGGCAGCCGTCCGCGGCGGCAGAGCGCCACTCACCGATCAGGCCGTTCTCCACCGGCTCCGGGTGGGTGCAGTAGGACGCCTCCAGCGACACCAGGTGGAACATGCGGTTTACCGTGTTGTTGGTGCCCACTACGCGGATGGACCTGCGGCCAGCCGCGACACCCAGGGCGGGTCAGCACCGGAGCTACAGCCGGGCGTCAGACGGGAACTCCAACCACAGGGACGGGCGCCGTCGCCTTGTTAACGCGCGTGCAATACGCGCGGCACATGTCCAGCTGAACACGCTGTCCCGGTAGTACGGTACGAAACACGCCCTAAAGGAGATAACAGCTGATGCCTGGGCATAGTGCGATTAGCTTTAGTGAGAATCATGCAACAGCTCTGGGCGACCTGGGCAATCACTCCTCAGGTCAGTAACAAGCCAGTGAGGTCGGTCCATGCGACCTGAGCAGTGTCCGTGAGGTCGGTCCGTGTAATCTGAGCAGTGTCAGTGAGGTCGGTCCATGCGACCTGAGCAGTGTCCGTGAGGTCGGTCCGTGTAATCTGAGCAGTGTCAGTGAGGTCGGTCCATGCGACCTGGTCAGTGTCAGTGAGGTCGGTCCGTGTGACCTGAGCAGTGTCAGCGAGGTCGGTCCGTGTGACCTGATCAGTGTCAGTGAGGTCGGTCCGTGTAATCTGAGCAGTGTCAGTGAGGTCGGTCCGTGTGACCTGATCAGTGTCAGTGAGGTCGGTCCGTGTGACCTGAGCAGCGTCAGTGAGGTCGGTCCGTGTGACCTGATCAGTGTCAGCGAGGTCGGTCCGTGTGACCTGAGCAGTGTCAGTGAGGTCGGTCCCTGTGACCTGAGCAGTGTCAGCGAGGTCGGTCCGTGTGACCTGATCAGTGTCAGCGAGGTCGGTCCGTGTGACCTGAGCAGTGTCAGTGAGGTCGGTCCGTGTGACCTGATCAGTGTCAGCGAGGTCGGTCCGTGTGACCTGATCAGTGTCAGCGAGGTCGGTCCGTGTGACCTGAGCAGTGTCAGTGAGGTCGGTCCCTGTGACCTGAGCAGTGTCAGTGAGGTCGGTCCGTGTGACCTGAGCAGTGTCAGTGAGGTCGGTCCGTGTGACCTGATCAGTGTCAGTGAGGTCGGTCCATGCGACCTGAGCAGTGTCAGTGAGGTCGGTCCCTGTGACCTGAGCAGTGTCAGTGACGCCGGTCCGTGTGATCTGAGCAGTGTCAGTGAGGTCGGTCCGTGTGACCTGAGCAGTGTCAGCGAGGTCGGTCCGTGTGATCTGAGCAGTGTCAGTGAGGTCGGTCCGTGTGATCTGAGCAGTGTCAGTGAGGTCGGTCCCTGTGACCTGAGCAGTGTCAGTGAGGTCGGTCCGTGTGACCTGAGCAGTGTCAGCGAGGTCGGTCCGTGTGACCTGATCAGTGTCAGTGAGGTCGGTCCATGCGACCTGAGCAGTGTCAGTGAGGTCGGTCCGTGTGATCTGAGCAGTGTCAGTGAGGTCGGTCCCTGTGACCTGAGCAGTGTCAGTGACGCCGGTCGCGCAGTGGGTGCCGCCCGAGCGCCGCCCCTCTCACCGGACGACGCGGGCCGGGAAGTACAGCGTCTGCCAGCTGCGGCAGTGGTAGCGCGAGTGGTTTACCACGCGCACCCAGTCACACTCGTCCATGGACACCTCGACGCAGTACGAGTACGACCTGGCGGCGAGGGAGGCGCGTTAGCGGAGGGCCGCGGTCACGTGCATCCCCCTTGCCCCGACAGCCGAGGCGCCGGCTGCGTCACGTGAGGTCAGGCTAATACCACACGTCTATGCAGTTTTCATACCTTAAATAGCTGATCACTGCACTCAAGTTCTTGTGAATACCTTGCTAACATTCTGACAACTACAAAATGACGTATGGTTAGCACGTACTTTTCAAAAGGGGTCCGCAATAGAATCACTTTAACAGAATATACATACCTGACACAAACGATGGGTTGCCTCATGCCAACTAGTCCAACTCATGATATGAAGCACAGCATGGACAAGCAGCCAATGCCTGTGTCTGGGTGCGGGGGGGGGGACAAAACAAAGCAATAAGACAGAAGCTCACCTCATGTCCTTATCCCAAAGCAGCATCTTAACATGGTTTATGATGCATGGCATACCGAGTCGAACTTCGATACAGTTGTCAGCGCCTGAAGCAATAAACACACGCTTTTGTTCAATATAGCCTAAAGCTTATCCCAAGAAATTACTCAACGACAAGCACTAACAAAAACTTCCCGCGGAGCAGACGGCCAACAAAACATTAACAACAATTGCGTAGACGTAAGCTCTATAGACAGCAGCAGTTGTACGGACATCAGCAGTTATATGTGCTGCAATAAATGGGAAGCTTTACGTTGCCAAGGCAAAAGCCCAGTGTATCGTGGTTTGGTGAAGCGATCCTGGGGTTCGAATCATTATCACAAACGAAAATCAAGCCAAACAGTCCCCTACCAGGTCTAACAGTCACCACACACCAACAGTCCAAACAGGCCCAACAATCATCACACAGCTGTCATTGCGGACCACCCCGCATCTGCATACTCCTTACCCAGGGTCTGTACACCAGCGCTTTTCACAATGTTCGCTATAGCCCGATACGAAAGACTAATGGCATGATTGCACGATCGTCTGGCTTCGCGTCGTAGCATTCTCTGGGGTTGCTGATGGCTCGGCGCAGAGTCCAGCGCCGTTGCCCTGGACGGCGGTGGGCCGCCGCCGTCCAGGGGAACGGCGTGGCCTTCTCTGGGTTTACTGATGGCTCGGCGCAGAGTCCAGCGCCGTTGCCCTGGACGACGGTGGGCCGCCGCCGTCCAGGGGAACGGCGTGGCCTTCTCTGGGTTTACTGATGGCTCGGCGCAGAGTCCAGCGCCGTTGCCCTGGACGGCGGTGGGCCGCCGCCGTCCAGGGGAACGGCGTGGCCTTCTCTGGTTTTAGTGACGGCTCGCCGCAGAGTCCAGCGCCGTTGCCCTGGACGACGGTGGGCCGCCGCCGTCCAGGGGAACGGCGTGGCCTTCTCTGGTTTTAGTGACGGCTCGCCGCAGAGTCCAGCGCCGTTGCCCTGGACGACGGTGGGCCGCCGCCGTCCAGGGGAACGGCGTGGCCTTCTCTGGTTTTAGTGACGGCTCGGCGCAGAGTCCAGCGCCGTTGCCCTCGACGGCGGTGGGCCGCCGCCGTCCAGGGGAACGGCGTGGCCTTCTCTGGTTTTAGTGACGGCTCGCCGCAGAGTCCAGCGCCGTTGCCCTGGACGGCGGTGGGCCGCCGCCGTCCAGGGGAACGGCGTGGCCTTCTCTGGTTTTAGTGACGGCTCGCCGCAGAGTCCAGCGCCGTTGCCCTGGACGACGGTGGGCCGCCGCCGTCCAGGGGAACGGCGTGGCCTTCTCTGGGTTTAGTGACGGCTCGCCGCAGAGTCCAGCGCCGTTGCCCTGGACGGCGGTGGGCCGCCGCCCGGGCCGCGCGCGCGCGTGCTCACAGGCCTCGTCGATGGTGTGCCGAGTGAAGCCGCGCTCCATGTCGAAGGCGCTCGTCTCGCCGTTGAGCAGGAAGGAGCGCATGTCGCCGCGCACCGTCTGCGCCCCGTGCCGAGCTGTGCACACGTTCTCGTCCGGCACTGACGGCGACCGGTCAGCCCAGGTCAGGCGACGGACCACCGCGTCATGTCAGGTCAGGTCACCTCGGCACCGAACAGGTCAGGTCACAGAGGGGCAGGTGAGGTCAGCTGACATCGGACCACCGCGTCATGTCAGGTCAGGTCACCTCAGCACCGAACAGTCAGGTCACAGAGGGGCAGGTGGGGTCAGCTGTCATCGGACCACCGCGTCATGTCAGGTCAGGTCACCTCAGCACCGAACAGGTCGGGTCACAGAGGGGCAGGTGAGGTCAGGTGACATCGGACCACCGCGTCATGTCAGGTCATCACCTCAGTACCGAACAGGTCAGGTCACAGAGGGGCAGGCGAGGTCAGGTGACATCGGACCAGCACGTCCAGTCCAGTCAGCTGAGGGGGACTTACAAGGATAAGGTGAGGTAAAATGACATCAGACCAGGTCGGGGCGACTCGCGACAGGACAGGTCGGACCATGGCAACATGCGGTCAGGTGACATAGGATGGCATCAGGCCCGATCTGGCCTGGCGAGGTAAGATCACGCGTGGTGAGTAAGGTGACGTACGGCCAGGCCAGGCCAGGTCAGATCCGGGCAGATGGGGCCAGCGGACGCCGTGGCGGACGTACTCCGGTGCCGGGTCACCGTCTGGGCATGGCGGCCGGACAACACTCCACTCGCTGGCGCACGCGCTTCCCATGATCAATACGTGCAGGATGCGGGGCGCCGCTCCTGCATGAAACGACACTTGATTTGCAGCTCTCACAATACGACGTACTTGTTCGGAAACGTGAACGCCCCAGTGTTCACGGTACCATCATAGGTGTTACGGGCCGACGGCACCATCCACCACAGGCGGCCGCCGGCCGCGCCGGGGCCTGGAGCCGGGACAGAGACCGCGGCCTCGGCCTCGGCCTCGCCCGGGTCCGGGCCCGGACTCGAGGTCGGGGCCGACCTCAGCTGGCCGCTACACTCACGCAGACAGCCGCGGTACTTGAGGTCGCGGTCGCGGCTCTCCACCTTGGTCTTGATGGCGTCCAGGATGGCGTCCGAGCTGATGATGTTGGAGGGCCGCACCACGTTCACCAGGTCCTGCGCCAGACCGAGAGGGCCGTCAGCGTGTCCGACAAAGCGCGCCACGGACACCGACCCGCCCGCTCGCGCCAAACACTGCGCGACAGGAAGATCTTCAGTGCGTGCAGCCCTCGGAGCTGCTGACATCAGCGGTGTCTGACGCTGCTGATGCACCTACCTTGGTGGAATACAAGGCGTGCCAAATTTGGGAACCAAGCATCTTATCATAGCGGGTTCCACGGTTTGTCAACAGCTCTCCCGTCAGCATGAAGTGATATTTTACAGATCAGCACACCTGCATACTGATCAGGGGCGGCGGGACGGACCTGCATCCCAATCAGTTCGTTGGTCAGACCTGCATACCGATAACAAGAGACAGGACATGCATGCATGCTGATCAGGCTGCGGAATGGGCCTGCACATTAGCCAGAGACAGGAGAGCGGTCCTATATGCTGGCCCAGGGCAGCAGGGTAGGCCTGTGTGTTGGCCAGAGACAAGAGGGTGGCCCTGTATACTGGCCCAGGACAGCAGGGTAGACCTGTGTATTGGCCACAGACAGGAGGGTGGCCCTGTTTGCTGGCCCAGGGCAGCAGGGTAGACCTGTGTATTGGCCAGAGACAGGAGGGCGGCCCTGTTTGCTGGCCCAGGGCAGCAGGGTAGACCTGTGTATTGGCCAGAGACAGGAGGGCGGCCCTGTATACTGGCCCAGGGCAGCAGGGTAGGCCTGTGTGTTGGCCAGAGACAGGACGGTGGCCCTGTTTGCTGGCCCAGGGCAGCAGGGTGGACCTGTGTATTGGCCAGAGACAGAAGAGTGGCCCTGTATACTGGCCCAGGGCAGCAGGGTAGGCCTGTGTGTTGGCCAGAGACAGGACGGTGGCCCTGTTTGCTGGCCCAGGGCAGCAGGGTGGACCTGTGTATTGGCCAGAGACAGAAGAGTGGCCCTGTATACTGGCCCAGGGCAGCAGGGTAGACCTGTGTATTGGCCAGAGACAAGAGGGTGGCCCTGTATACTGGCCCAGGACAGCAGGGTAGACCTGTGTATTGGCCAGAGGCAGAAGGGTGGCCCTGTATACCAGCCCAGGACAGCAGGGTAGACCTGTGTATTGGCCAGGGACAGGAGGGTGGCCCTGTATACTGGCCCAGGACAGCGGGGTGGACCTGTGCACTGGCTAGAGATAGGAGAGTGGCCCTGTTAACTAGCCCAGGGCAGCAGGGTAGGCCTGTGTATTGGCCAGAGACAAGAGGGTGGTTCTGTATACCGGCCCAGGGCAGCAGGGTAGACTTGTGTACTGGCCACAGACAGGAGGACAGACCTACATGCTGGCCAATGGCCGGCGGACGGACCTGCATACTGATCAGAGGCAGACGGACGCTGGCGATCAGCTGGCGGGCGTCCGACTCCGGATTGACGGCCGTCCACTTGCTCACTGCCCGGAAGATATCTACTTCCGGCGCGCAGAACGAGTCTCGAGAGATCACCTCCTTTACACCTTGCTGCAGGCGGACACCCACCAAGGCGTCATCAAGTACTGCGCCACCGTTAAAAAAGGATATTCATTGTCGAGCTATTACCTATTATTGCGCCGCTTGTGGCTCTTTAAAGGTTATTAGCGGCATGTGTAAGCACTAGCGTATGAATGCCACATCCGTAGGTGCCAATGGCATATCACTTTGGCCATATTTGAACACATGCATACTTAGCAAATATAGCGGAGCCACCAGGTGAAACTTTGGTGGGCGAAGAGACCGCCCCAGTCATGGCAGTGGATCAGCCAGGGACATGGCGCCGATGTACCACAGATCGCGACGCTACTCCGACCTTGTGGCGGCGCTGCCAATGATCGCGACGCTGCTCCGACCTTGTGGCGGCGCTGCTAACGTGCGCCACTCCGGAGTGTGCTCGCCAGGCCTCTCCAGCCTCATGCGGTTCCGTCGCCGGGAGCATACAGCGCGTGCCGGCACTCAGCCGACACAGCGTGTGCCGGCACTCACGGCCGACACAACGCGTGCCGGCACTCACGGCCGACACAACGCGTGCCGGCACTCACGGTCGACACATGTGCCGGCACTCACGGCAGACACAGCGTGTGCCGGTACTCACGCTCGACATGCTACAGAAGCTCGGGTGCTGCAGCACGGACGGCGCGTGCTTGTCCATGAAGCTCTGGCAGACGGCCAGCAGCGGCCCCTGCCGGTACAGCCAGGCCATGTCGTAGATGACGCATACGTTGCCGGTGCGCACGGCCGCCTCCAGGTACTGCGAGACGGCCTCCTCCAGCTGACAGAAGCCGTACTGGTGCGCCAGGCCCAGCATGTCCAGCACCGTGTCCTCCTGCAACAAGCGGCAGCGTGAGTAGGGCTGCGCTCGCCGCCGACGGGCCCGGCGGCGCGAAACAGCGAGGTCAGGGTCGGCTGCGACACGCTCACGCCCATCCGGCCACGCACTGGCCCCAGACCCCAGCCAGCTGTCCCGCAGCCACACTGAACGCTGAAACCCAGAGGGTCCGACCAGCAACACGCAACCAACGGTCCAAAGTCTTCGGACGAGCCCGTCCGACTGGGGCTTGTCATTACTGGAAGTAAACATCCATCGAAAATGTCACTGACTTGACATTCCATCGCATAGCCCCCACCCTTACCGTAATTTGTCGGGGCCACAAGACAGACTACAACGATAACGATACGATAACGACGATAACGATAGCGATAACGATTAGTATTCCATCTGCTCTAAGGACAGCGCCAGATATCGGTGTAGCTTGTCGTCTCGACTGGACTGGGCCGCGGCCGGAGCCGACCCCGGGGGAGACGACCGGCGGCGAGGCGTGCCGAGCCGGCCCGCCGCCACACCGTCAGCAACGCTCACCTTGAGAGCGGCCAGCGACATCTGGCCGGTGTAGATGTACTGGAGCAGCACGCGGAACGGCTCGACGGCGGCGCCGGTCAGCGTCACCTCCTTCTCGCGTGACTCCTTCATGCCGCCAAACAGCAGTGCCCTGGCCGGGGAGACGCGCCGTCAAGCGCCGTCCACAGCCGCCGCCGGCGACGCTCACCACTGTCATCAGCACGGTCACACTGCGCCGTCCACGGCCGCTACCGTCAACACGGTCACACTCCGTCGTCCACGGCCGCCACCATCAGCACGGTCACACTGCGTCGTCCACGGCCGCTACCGTCAACACGGTCACACTCCGTCGTCCACGGCCGCTACCGTCAACACGGTCACATTCCGTCGTCCACGGCCGCTACCGTCAACACGGTCACACTCCGTCGTCCACGGCCGCCACCATCAGCACGGTCACACTCCATCGTCCACGGCCGCTACCATCAGCAAGGCCATACACCGTCGTCCACGGTCGCTGCCATCAGCACGGTCACACTCAGCCGTCCGCGGCCGCTGCCATCAGCAAGGCCATACACCGTCGTCCACGGCCGCCGCCATCAGCACGGTCACACTCCGTCGTCCACGGCCGCCATCATCATCCACACTCCATCCAGAGTCGCTGCCATCAACAGTCATCGCCGCCCACAGCTGCCGCCATCACACGGTTACACACGGTCCGATCACCACGACACCGCTGACACGTACTGTGGCCTGCCCGTCCGCCTCCAGACGCGGTCCCGGACCCGGCTCGACAGGCACAGCCCGGCGCACCGCGGTCTTCCGCTCCACAGCCGACCCCACGGTCCATTTACCTGTATTGTTAACTTACCGGGCTTGACATTCCATTGCATAGCCCCCAGCACAACAGTAATTTGTCGAGGGCACATGGCAGACTACAACGACAACGATGCGAGCCCATGGTCCACCACTTACCTGCACTGTTAACGCTGGAGTTTTCAAGATTTCATCATGAAACTTGGATGTTTTCGTGGCGCTATTCGACCCTAAGCAATTTGTGCGGTACACTGGCACACCAGCATGCTGACGGTGCCACATATAATTGGCAGTCGTTAGTACCGCCGGACCACCAGACCGGGTGGGCGCGGCCGACTCACCTGAAGTACTCGCTGCGGGCGGCCAGCACGGAGCGGTGGGCGCTGAACCGGTGCCCGTCCACCACCAGCACGACGTCGCTGAACTCTTCGGAGCGGCACAGCAGCGCCAGATCCTGCGACAGCTGGCTCACGTGGTCGACCTCGCCGCAGCCACGGCCGGCCGCCACCAGGCCCTGGTGCTGGTCACTCATGGCGGCGCGCCGCTGCCTGGCTCCGGCCGCCGCCCTGTCAGTCAGACCGCGCTCGTCAGCGGTCAGTGGCCTCCCTGCCAGTCAGACCGCGCTCGTCAGCGGTCAGCGGCCGTCCTGCCAGTCAGACCGCGCTCGTCAGCGGTCAGCGGCCTCCCTGCCAGTCAGACCGCGCTCGTCAGCGGTCAGTGGCCTCCCTGCCAGTCAGACCGCGCTCGTCAGCGGTCAGCGGCCTCCCTGCCAGTCAGACCGCGCTCGTCAGCAGTCAGCGGCCGCCCTGCCAGTCAGACCGCGCTCGTCAGCGGTCAGCGGCCTCCCTGCCAGTCAGACCACGCTCGTCAGCGGTCATCGTCAGTGGTCAGCGGCCTCCCTGCCAGTCAGACCGCGCTCGTCAGCGGTCAGCGGCCTCCCTGCCAGTTAGACCACGCTCGTCAGCGGTCAGCGGCCGCCCTGCCAGTCAGACCACGCTCGTCAGCGGTCATCGTCAGTGGTCAGTGGCCTCCCTGTCAGTCAGACCGCGCTCGTCAGCGGTCAGTGGCCGCCCTGCCAGTTAGACCACGCTCGTCAGCGGTCATCGTCAGTGGTCAGTGGCCTCCCTGCCAGTCAGACCGCGCTCGTCAGCGGTCAGCGGCCACCCTGCCAGTCAGACCGCGCTCGTCAGCGGTCATCGTCAGTGGTCAGTGGCCTCCCTGCCAGTCAGACCGCGCTCGTCAGCAGTCAGTGGCCGCCCTGCCAGTTAGACCACGCTCGTCAGCGGTCATCGTCAGTGGTCAGTGGCCTCCCTGCCAGTCAGACCGCGCTCGTCAGCCGTCAGTGGCCTCCCTGCCAGTCAGACCACGCTCGTCAGCGGTCAGCGGCCTCTTGCCAAGCACCAGCCTACCAACACTGGGTGTCAACATTCAACTGTTCTGAAATTGGGTGCTGAGATCAGTGCTATAAATGGGATGAAAAACTTGTGGTAACCAAGCCATATGTCTCATACAATTCTGCAATCTTAGTGCAAATTTTATGTTCTGGGATCCATCATCCCTTTGACCTGGTTTGTGCTGCAGCAAACTTTTGGATGCTGACATGTGGCAGGTACATAGCCCTGAGTCCTGATGCTGTGGTGACGTGGCTTGCCTCAGCAGCAAATTTGTGACTAAATGGCCAAGACAGCAAGCTGAACAGGACCTGCCATCACATGGTGTCATCTGGCACTTAGAAAACTTTGACAAAATTGCTCTTTGAACTGCAGTGGGTTTGAGTTTGAAACAAGCTATGTTTGGTACACAATAGTTCTAAAGCCACCTCCACCTTACAATACATTCTGAGCACTTTATATGTCAATAATTAATGTAAACCTTATTATTTTGCCTCATGCCAAGTATCCTTATCAGTTTGTCTACCTTATCTAAAGCTTTGCAACATGGCTTACATATCATGCCCATTATAGACGAAGCAACTCTACCAGCCAAGTTCTTAGTTACTAGTTGTATGTGAAACATCCATATTCCGCTACACAATCTGCAAAGCATACACAAATCCATGTTATAGAATGCACCCTTAGTCCTGTCATCCAATGAACCCAAATTCCTCATTGCAACTGTCACACCAGTTTCAAATACTTAAGGTGTTGCACAACTTCAAGTCTTAGGACCCCTGGCAATTGCCTTATCCTTAAACTATAGGTGGCACATTATTTGAAGCTCTGGTTTCACAGATATGTGCAGCTGTTTATGCAGAGTGTGGGATGTACAATGGCAAGCACTTGTATCCATACTAAAGGGAATGTTCTTCATTCAAAGGCACTGAAGCATGCACCATCTGTGATGAAACAGTCATTTATACTATTGGTATGCTTTTAAGGGGGAAACCTGCTGTAGGCAGTTCAATTCTCTGTTTAGTAAACATGTTCCTCAATACATCATGATTTAATTATATCATTGTACCTGGCACATTATTGATTGGGAGCCAAGTTGTGGCTGTTATGTCAGGGGATTGAGCTCATGAACAACAGAATGAGTCCCTGGACAATTTTATCATTTCATTTTGCAGGATTTGGATGGTGCTATCATGACATCATGGATGCCAAAGTGTCTTTGATATGCAATTCTTGATGTCCCTTTTCCCATTTTCTTAGGTGTGTAGTTCAGAGACTAGATGGGGTTATGTCTTAAGAATGGCAGGATTTGAACAGCACCAGGCTATTTCAGTTCAAAACTCACATAACCGTGGAGCACCCCCTTTAAGGAAATTGGTCTTTGTGGGTAAAGTGTGTGCTACTATCTGGTGACAGCAATAAACAATCATTTCTATCTTTTCTCACTCCCTGACCTTGAAATGCACCATCCTTGAGCATGTAAAATGCTTCAGTGAGCCATGTTGTGGTGAGTAGGGCATGATAAACATGGAAAGCACCATGGGTAAACCATTTTTAATGCATGAACCATAACTGAGCTGAAACATTATGGATATATATATATATATTAATGAAGTATTTAATAGTGAGATCATCAGCTGGTATATCAACACTTAACATACACCAGTGGAAAATATAACCATATACAATGACTGACTGCATCAGAATGTCTTTGCTCAAAACATTTAAGAATGTGAGTATTACTAGCATCTACCTGCTGGCTGCTATCCACAATTTTCTTTAGAATTACTGCTGCATGGGGTAAATTTCCAGTAACAAGAAAGATGTCAGAGCTGACATAGCCTGAAAGCTGAAAAGTTGCTATATCTGCAAAGGAAAACATATATTGTAAGGATCTGTCAATGCATTGTTCCCTTCATTCTTTTTGCTGTTGTTCTAATGTCAATAAAACTGGCAATTTATCTGCTGCTAAGTGTTACCTGAGCCTTGCACCATGTACATGTAATCAAATGCTGACTTGCAGACCAAGTATATGTTTACCTATTGACCAGTCTGCAAACTGAGGCTGATTTGTACAAGATCCTGATGGGACAGACCTGGGTAAAGCTTTATAATCAGAATGGCTTCTCAAAACTCTGACAGGCATTGTGGAACTGGACTACTGATGCCATCATAATGTGTCCTTTGAAATTCAAAACTGACAAGACCACAAAAAATGACAATATCTGAGGGTGGATCTCATTTTTTTTGGAAGGGAACCTGCATCACCACCAAACGTAACCAGATAGGCACATTTATTATGCTATTTTGGGTAGGATTCTATCCGTCCGAAATATAGCATTGGCAGGTTTGCCATAGCTTGCATACTGAGCAGCCGGATGTGTTCCCACGTCTTAAAATGCGATATACCTGAGCAGGTATTGCACTGTACACTACGGACCCAATCTGATTTCACTGATTACTTTTCACACATATTTAACACATCCCCTGTTTCTTTCTACGACATGACAAGTACTCCAATACGCAACAAATACTCGTAACCCAAATCTGCAGCACGCACCCCAAACACCAACCGTCACCAATCTCAATGATCAAAACAAACAAAAAAATGTAAAAGCTCCGTTCTTCATTGACAGAAATGGCACAAAAGCTACCAACTTATGACGTCAAATTACCATAAAAGTATGAAATGAACATACGTTTCTTTTGATGAGGAAGACTCAGTCTGCATTAAATGAATTCCAAGTATTGCTCAAAATCCAGCAGCTCTTTCATAAAATTTCACACTAGTTCTTATTTTATTATGGGCGACTAATTGCCTGAACTTTAAGGACCTTTAATTAAACCTCCTGATTAGGAAATCAAAGGCTAATGTGACGCAGATGATACGTATGCAATTTTCGCCTACCATAAACAAACATCTCTGACCCACATCACGCTTGCATTGGGTCTCCGCTGCTGGTTTAACGTCTTGAATTTAGTGTTTAAAAGAGCCGTGGGATCTAGAGCTTGGTTCGTGAGAAGCGTAGGTGTGTGATTTGTCTTGTGAAGGGAATTACAGAGACGCTCTAGCCTCAGAGAAATATTCAGCTTGTGTTTCTGAAGAGCTGACCCTATTATTGACACTCCTTGCCAGTTGGTGCAGGAAGAGATAGACTCAAAATAAAACTATAGTACAGTGGAAGTAATTTTGACTCGATTTAGGTTATCATGATGGCCATCGTAATTCCATCTGAAGCTTAATGTACATCATTAAGTATCCAATGCATTTTCTTTTGGCATGTATTACATTTATATCCATAAATATGTTGCTGCCTGGGCAAATGGATAGGCAGGTAATATACAAACAGAACAGATTGCCTATGTAAATAGAATGTGTTCCCAATAAGACATAATTGGCTGTCTATAGGTAGGAAGTCCCCTATGTATATATGGAATAGCCCAAGACTAACTGATAAACTCTTGTTACCAAGGCTTGATTGATTTTGAGCTTTTATTACATGTTTGTTTACTGCTATGTCAAAGAAACCTCATTGCTCTTAATTTTCTTTACAGCAAAACCATGGACCCACTGAAGATTGGCATCATAATAGGTATGACTTTGCATTACAGGTGGTAGAAGGGATTTCTAACTTTGCTTGCCAGTTGATTTTCAAGTCAAGTAATATCTCCTGTGTTGGATCTGGTGCATTCTATTTTAAATTTTGCATGCTGGCATCACAGAATTTTTAGAATACTGACATAAAAGCTGTTTGTATTTAATCTGTATGTTCAACTTAGAGAAAAGAAGAGGGTAAGTATTATTCAAACACTCTGCACATGCTCAGGCTTCATCAAGTTCTTCCTGTAGGCCTGTGCTCCAACTGCCTTTGAGGCTGCAGTGTGTGGGGTGGGGTGGCAGATGGACGTACCCCACTGATGTGTGTCCTGGGCCCCAGTGAGTGACCGGGCGGCGGCAGGCAGCTCAGCCGACCTGACTGGGCCCCGGCTCAGCGCGCTGCTCGAGGGCGGCGAACTCTTTGTGGCCAAGCTCGTCCAGCGGATGGTGGTGGCTGATGAGCGCGCCGACATACAGGTGTGACTCCCGCGACAGCAGGGACCCTCCCGAAACACTGACCAGCGTGTTCTGAGCTGCCGGACCCGTCTGTGGAGTGAACGGAGCGAATCCAGTCCGCCGGCGAGGTCCTGCTCGGAATAGCAGCTAATGAGCACCTGGGGCGAATGGGCCTGATCTGGCTAGGAGGGTCAGCTACACGTGGTGGCCAACGAGCTCCACTGTAATGGACGGTGCGACGAAGTCGCAAGACTTCGTTGCAGCCGACGCATTTGCGTGACCTCTGGAGGCCGGCGTCTGACGCGGCCTCTCCACTGTCTGCAGGCGGCCGTGACCGGGCTCTCGGACCGCTGTGACGTGCTGCTGACCTCGGGCGGCACGGGGTTTGCGGCGCGGGACGTGACGCCCGAGGCTGTGGCGCCGCTGCTGGAGCGGTCGGCGTCCGGCCTGCTGGCTGCCATGCTGCACGGCTCACTGGCCGTCACCCCGCTGGCCATGCTGTCGCGGTACGGCGGCGCCCGCGTTGCCCTCCCCTGGCTATGATGACGCGGTGTATCAGTGCCTAGCTAGTGCCCATCCCCGTGGTGTGGCCCCTTTTGCAGTAATAGCCACCTGCAGTCGTCGGCCGTCCTGAGTCCCTCTCATGTATCGGGGATCTGTGTAGGTGTACCTCCAGCTAAGATATTAAATAGGACGTTAACATGTCTCCACCTCCCGACCACTGGGCACCCTCGGGTCAGCGGGGTCTGAGCCGCCGTCCTGTGGCCGGCAGGCCGGTGGCCGGGGTGCGCGGCCGGTGTGTGGTGGTCACGCTGCCGGGCAGCCCCAAAGCGGCCGAGGAGTGCGTCCGGCTGCTGGCGCCCGGTCTGCCGCACGCCGTCGACCTGCTGCGGGACCGACGGACGCGCGTGGAGCATGTGCACCTGCAGCTGCAGAGCGATACCGTGCCCCAGCGGGCCACGCCGACCGCCGGCGGAGATGAGCACTACTGTCAGCACCAGCACCAGCACCAGCACCAGGCCGGCTCCACGGTACGACGCCCGCCACGAGGCTGTCGATGAGTCTTCCGCGCCCTGTTGCTTCGCGCCATGGTGCGATATGACAGGCTGCTCCTAAACAGCGGCGCCCAGAGGTGACACAGTGGAGCCGGCGGCGCCGCTCCTAAATAGCGGCGCCGTTGATTGAGCCGCGTGTCAGCGCCCGAGTCCCCCCGGCTCGAATCTCCGAGCTTCGTGAATCGACACCTGCGATGGCGGGGTGCGGCAGTCCGGTGGCCGCGCGCCAGGAGAGGCCCGTGACCTGCCCACCCCCGTCTGCGCCGCAGGTGGACCCATCTCAGGTGTCGCGCCGGCACCGCCGCTCGCCGTACCCCACCATCCCGCTGGCCAGGGCGCAGGAGGTCGTGATGGACGCCGTGGCTGGCTACGAGCGCTCCGTCGAGACGCTCAACATCACGTGAGTGGCCGTCTCTCGGAGAGGGCCGCCCGGTCTGGAGACGGACAGATGCGGGCTGGTCGGGTCTGTCGAAGTGAGTTGGAGTCAGCCGGGGATGCCCTGCGTGTGTCAATGTAAGTGGAGCCGGCTTGATGACTAGGACACTGTTCGACCGTGTGCACCCATGGAGAGGCTAGAGCCGGGAGCGGGATGGGAGGTCTTTGTCATGCTTTCAACAACACACTGATTATGTTTGGCCTAACGGATGGGATGTACCAGTACACCGTATTGTCCCGTGTCCCGTCCTCGTCCAGAAACTCGTCATTCGGTCGCTACTAACGTGCGTGTACTGCGAACCCACTGGCCAGAAGTCTGTGGCGCCTTGGGGCTGGTTCATACCATCTGGTTAGTTGACGCTTGCTCAGCCCGTGACCACCGTCGCTATCTGTTTCAGTGCCGCGCAGGACCGCGTGCTGGCAGAGGACATCGTGGCTAAGGTGCCACTGCCACCTTTCCCGGCCTCGGTGAAGGATGGCTACGCCGTCTGCTCGGCAGATGGTGTTGGCGTCAGACATGTGCTGGGTGCCTCCAACGCCGGTGTGGACGTAAGCAGAAGCAAGATGCGGAGATGGGCCCACTTCCGACGTCGAGTGTTTGCGCTGCCTGTGGCGTGCCGCGGCTCGTTCTCGCCGTCCGCGGACGTACCCGGCCCGCGCTGCGGCCGCTGACCCTCTGTGCGGTGCGCAGGGTGACGGCGCGGCGTCCACCGTGCGGCCCGGCACCTGCGTGCGCATTAGCACCGGCGCTGCCGTACCGGCCGGCGCTGACGCCGTCGTCATGGTGGAGCAGACCCGGCTGGCGGAGGCGTCCGAGGACGGCACGCGCGAGCTCACCGTGGAGATCCTGGAGGCGCCGCGCGCCGGCCAGGACATCAGGTCAGTGGGATGGCAGGGGTCAGGGGGCAGGAATCGGGTCAGAGGATGGCAGGGGTCAGATTAGAGAAGTGGTAGGAGCTAGGTTAGAGGAGCGGCAGGGATCAGGCCAGGGGATGGCAGGGACCAGCTCAGAAAAGTGGCAGGGGTCGGACCAGGGGCGTGGTGAAGCCAGGTTAGAGGAGCGGCAGAGATCAGGTCAGAAGTGGTTAGGGGTCAGGTTAGTGGAGCAACAGGTGTCAGGTTAGAGAAGCGGCAGGGGTCAGGACAGCGGGTGAACACATCAGTATAAAGACGGCAACGGAAGGAACGTAATGTGTACGCGGCAGATTTACCACCTGCGTGTTGCTGGCCCTTCCCAGCGACGTCATGACCGAGCGGTCAGCAGGATCGGCCGCCTTGTTAGGGGTCGCTGCCTGCTGCTGCGGGCTGCGACCGGCGCCTTCCCCGCACACCCGCCTGGTGTCCTCCGGCGCGTGTCGCTGAGATGTGCTCCCCCCTTAGTTGTTATGGCGTGCCCCTGCGATGTTCCCGTGCCTCTGTCGTGACGCGCCCCGCGGTGTTCCCGTACCACTGTCGTGACGCGCCCCGCGGTGTTCCCGTGCCTCTGTCGTGACGCGACCTGTGGCGTTTCCGTGCCACTGCCGTGGCGCGCCCCTGCGGTGTTCCCGTGCCTCTGTCGTGACGTGCTCTGTGGTGTTCTCGCGCCACTGTCGTGACGCGCCCTGTGGTGTTCCCGTGCCACTGTCTTGACGCGCCCCTGCTGTGTTCCCGTACCACCGTTGTGACGCGTCCCTGCTGTGTTCCCGTATCACTGTCGTGACGCGCCCCTGCTGTGTTCTCGCACCACTGTCGTGACGTGCCTCTGCTGTGTTCCCGTACCACTGTCGTGACGCGCCCCTGCTGTGTTCCCGTACTACTGTTGTGACGTGCCCCTGCTGTGTTTACGTACCACTGCCGTGACGCGCCCCTGCGGTATTCCCGTACCGCTGTCGTGACTTGCCCCTGCTGTGTTCCTGTACCACTGTTGTGACCCGTCCCTGCCCTGTTCCCGTATCACTGTCGTGACGCGCCCCTGCTGTGTTCCCGTATCACTGTCATGACGTGCTCCGTCTCGGTGCCGTTTCAGGCCGGTGGGTAGTGACATCGCCAAGGGCACCCTGGTGCTGGACTCCGGCCGCCGGCTCGGACCGTTCGAGCTCGCTTCGCTGGCTGCTGTCGGTGTCTGTCAGGTCACAGTGTTCAGGTGAGGGCCCGTCCCGTGCAGAGGTCAGGTCAGGGCACTGTGATATTAGGGGGGTGTGCTTTACCACTGCCACCTCAGTTGGGCTGGGAAGTATGTCCTGCCTAGTCATGTGTTGTATGTTGTCTGGATGTGTCATCACTTGCACCCGGCATGAGCTGACGGCGGCCAGAGGTGATGTGTTATGCCCTGTACCTGGCATGAGTTGACGGTGGCCAGAGGTGATGTGTTGTCTCCTGTACCTGGCATGAACTGACGGTGACTAGAGGTGATGTGTTATGCCCTGTACCTGGCGTGAGCTGACAGCGGCCAGAGGTGATGTGTTATGCCTTGTACCTGGCGTGAGCTGACGGTGGCCAGAGATGATGAGTTATCTCCTGTACCTGGCGTGAGCTGACGATGGCCAGAGGTGATGTCTTATCTCCTTTACCTGGCATGGGCTGCCGGTGACTAGAGGTGATGTCTTATCTCCTGTACCTGGCGTGAGCTGACGGTGGGCAGAGATGATGTGTTATGCCCTGTACCTGGCGTGAGCTGACGGTGACCAGAGGTGATGTGTTACCTCCTGTACCTGGCGTGAGCTGACGGTGGCCAGAGGTGATGTGTTATGCCCTGTACCTGGCGTGAGCTGACGGTGGCTAGAGGTGATGTCTTATCTCCTGTACCTGGCATGAGCTGACGGTGGCCAGAGGTGATGTGTTACCTCCTGTACCTGGCATGAGCTGACGGTGGCCAGAGGTGATGTCTTATCTCCTGTACCTGGCGTGAGCTGACGGTGGCTAGAGGTGATGTCTTATCTCCTGTACCTGGCGTGAGCTGACGGTGGCTAGAGGTGATGTCTTATCTCTTGTACCTGGCGTGAGCTGACGGTGGCTAGAGGTGATGTCTTATCTCCTGTACCTGGCATGAGCTGACGGTGGCCAGAGGTGATGTCTTATCTCCTGTACCTGGTGTGAGCTGACGGTGGCCAGAGGTGATGTCTTCCTGTACCTGGCATGAGCTGACGGTGGCTAGAGGTGATGTCTTATCTCCTGTACCTGGCGTGAGCTGACGGTGACCAGAGGTGATGTGTTACCTCCTGTACCTGGCGTGAGCTGACGGTGGCCAGAGGTGATGTCTTATCTCCTGTACCTGGCGTGAGCTGACGGTGGCCAGAGGTGATGTCTTATCTCCTGTACCTGGCATGAGCTGACGGTGGCCAGAGGTGATGTGTTATCTCCTGTACCTGGCGTGAGCTGACGGTGACCAGAGGTGATGTGTTACCTCCTGTACCTGGCGTGAGCTGACGGTGGCCAGAGGTGATGTGTTATGCCCTGTACCTGGCGTGAGCTGACGGTGGCTAGAGGTGATGTCTTATCTCCTG